TTTTGTTGTTTGACTTCATTTTCATTAATGGATTCGTTTCGAAAGGGAGACGAAACATGTTTCGCATACTTGAGAAATCTGTTGCACTTCCATGTGTTGCGCTGACCCGAAGAGCTCTTGACAAACAGTTTTGGACCGTTATTTAATTGATGGTTAGGTTGAGGTACTGGAGTTGTTGGCAAATATATCCCATTCCCACTATTATTGTTAATATTGTTGTTGTAGTGAATTCTCACATTTGGTAAGTAAACGATTTTCTCTTCCTTTTTATTGCTTTTTCCAAATATATTCTCTTTATTTGGAAAATATTTTCTCACTTTTTTCACGTTATCACTAAGTTTTTGGGATACCATTGGGTATGACATACGATGGTTCTGAATGGGGGGTATTGTTATGACAGGCGGCGGGGGATCCGCTTTATTCTCATTACTGGCGATCACATCAATGACAGCATCACTTGGTTTAGGGCATTGAAACTCACTCTTAACCCTATCAGGCAATGGTGCGAATCCGCGCACATAATCGTAGATTTGGTCGATTTCATCATAAAAGTCGTTGTTATGATCGCTCGCACCCAACACTTTGGTCGATGTCTTTGCGTCGGTGTGGCTGTCGTCCAGAGAAGTGCCGCGTCTTAACTGTTCGTTGCATTCAATCGCATCGGCGCTGGCGTTGATCTGTTGCGGATCAGACAAACTGCGTTTGACTAAGAAGTTTGACTGTAATCTACTTCTGTGGTCGTGTTGATGGCCCTGTAATCGAAAAACAAATCTTCCTTTGTTTCCCTTATTCTCTTTGAGGGACGCCTTTAACTCTTTGCTAAGCAGTTGGAGATCCAAAACATGCATTTTGTCCGTTAATCCCTGTTTTAATTTGTTTGATAAGTCGTTAAGAGCGACGAATTCAGTCATTTCGCACAACTGGTCACCATTTTTCGGGCCCAATATTTTCAAACCAGAACTGATAGGAACTTGAATTATGCTTTGAGTGTCTTTTGCCAAAGGGATGGCAACAAAGCATTCCTCTTCGTATGAACTATAGAGGCGTACGTTTGAGTGAAAGTTTTTTAAGCCGTGAGGAGGTTTGCCATATACTAATCGCGCCATTAATGGCAAACGTTTAGATAATAGGTTAGCCATTGAATGCACTCCTGATATGCCTTCTTTAGCAACGGGACTAAACCTTCCCTTTTGATCGACGTTTAGATAAATTGTATCACCTTTTGATGAATGACACCTAAGGAGTCGGACACCGTTTGACTTAGTGTTTGGCACAACCATCACATCTGTGCCCACTATTGTAATCAGTTCTCCGGTTTGCAATGTTCTCACTTTATCTGATACCACATTCGGGTCTTCACTCTTACCGATATAGGCCTTAATGTTTTCTCTTATAAGACACGTTTCGCCTATTCTTTTGGTCAAATCAATAATATTTTCAATACAACGGACAGACTTTCCCTCTTCGGACAGTATTTCCCACCAGCCGTCGTAGTTGTCAGGAATGGACAGTTTAGGACCAGTGGGTACAGCGCGTCCATTGGCTCCGGTGCTGGCATTTCGGCCCTCTTTGAAGCGGACTGACTGTGCGATCACATTAACCCTTTTACCGGCCGAACCCCACAAAACAATTTGGTTGAGTGAAGGGGACGAAAGGGTGGGCACACCAACGGTCATGTACTGTCCCCTCACAATCTTCCCGATTTGTGGTAACGAATATTTGGTGACAAATTCTTTCAAAGGATCACTTGTTTCGGACCACTTGACTGCCGACAGGAGAGGAGTTGAGTCCAAAGACATTCTCACAACTTTTGCTTTATTTCCTTCAAATGTCGATAACTTGTGGTAACTTTCAATACAATTCTACACTATATTATGGGAAATGAGAAATGAGACAACAGCTGGATCTTCAACTTGTGAACTCTTCGCAAATGATAGCAAGTATTTTATTCGCCGCAACGACTCCACCAAAAACTTGTTTCCCAAAAGTTTGTTTCGTAAAACTGGTTATGAATGACTTATGTATTATTCAGTATTGCTGTGGCACTGGATGTGGCACTGGATCTGCCAGTGGTTCTGGCAGTGGCTCTGGCTTTAACATTGAAAGCATATCCAGTTAGGGATGTATTTGTATTCATTTATTTTACAACTCATAAAATTTATTTTTATTTTACGCTAATATTTAATATTTATCTAATAATTACATTAAATGCCTTTAATTTGTTGAGTCAGTAAAATGATATCGTTAAATATTTTACCGTAAAGTGAAAATTTATGCTTTAAATAACAAGTAAATACAATTCTATCGCAAACAATCTATTGTAAATGCAACTTTTTTTTTAATTTGTAATTCCAAATAAATATAAATTATAAACCAATGTTATAGATAATTTATTGATACACTCTTTAAATTATTTTAATAATAATGCAATCTTTTATATCTTTTATTGAATAATATAAAATTTAATATGAGTAAAATAAAATTAACTGTAAGCCTAAATTTACAATAGTGTTAACCATTGCAACCTTATATACAGTGTGCACACACTTCCAGTCGAGAGATGCACTCTTTCTTTCAACTGACGGGCGGTTCAAATATTCTTCGAGTGTTTGAAAGCATTCAACTTTTGGGGTCAAAGTTTTCGACTGAGAACTGAGTATAAGTGATATCAACTTTGAAAGTGACCCGTCTTTGAATCTCTCTCTCTCTCTCTCTCTCTCTCTCTCTCTCTCTCT